ACTCTAATGTTTGATTGGTTTGGGAGGCTAGCAAATCCTCTGGGAGATAGAATTTGAACTCTTGAATCCGTAGCAGTGACATTCGAGTTGTAGAAAGAACTTTGCATCTCTCTACATTGATAAATCGACATCATAGGACCAAGAACATTCTCATAAGCGTTCCGTTCCCCTCTTCAGCAACAATGGCAAGCGCAGGATTCCATTTACGATGGCTCCATTAACAGTCTGATTGTATATTCGTCCCGCCTTTTCCTTGATTGCTGAGCGTCGAACAGATCCCCGGGTCACTCCTCACTATATCATTCCCCTCAGACAGTGATACATGATTTGTGCGTCCTTGCTTTTTATTGGCCCCCAAAGAACCCTTACAACATTTAGCTTGTCATGCATCAATTCACGACAAGGAGGTGCATAACCAGCCAGTCCGTCTGCCTGTTCATTTCCCATTGAACACGTAGAGAAAATATACAACGGATGCTAACTACATGTATCTCTCTACAGCTGTTGTATATCTATTCTGGGTACAATTATTTTATCAGTTAAGATAATATGCTTTCACAAATAATATAATTTCACTCTTTCGTTGTGAAACTTGCCAAGTGGGTTTTTGCATGGTTTATTATTCGTGGCTATTGTATTTTTGTTCATTAAAAAAAAAAAAAAGACTAAAGGAATGACGCATACAGAGTGTTTCTGCGTTATTTAGTATACCTATTCAGTGTTGCATCCTGGTTATCCTGTGTGACTATGTCATAAACAATAACTTTGGTTGCCGACTGTGTTGTATTTATTGTATTACCTTGTTGATTCACATTTACCCTTGAAAAAGACATACACCAGAGGCGAGGCGTGATCAGTTCGCAGGCGTAAGCGTTAGCAGGCAACGGATAAAAAGGAAAACAGGTTATATTTTTTCTTCTTTTGAGAGTATGCGTGCACAGCTAGCATCGTAGTACTGGTAATTGGTAGCTTTCACGTGTTGCAGTTTCTGTATGAGCAGTGTAAGCATGCAGCAAGCGTTTATTTCGCTTGTTCGAGACGTAAACGGACTGGCTTATTTGTAATAAATAGTAATCCACAGTAGTAAAGAGTAAAATAATGCACCTTTCTTTGGCAATGGAAAGTGTATAAGGCGGTTAGAGCCACTACATGCACGCCTCGCCATTGCCCTACGCAGACAGAAGAACATCTGTGGCATCTGTGTCAAAAACGATCGGCAGTACAGTTATCTTAATCTTTGTCTCAAATTATGCAGGCTTTGTTGGCAATTAAAGAGCTCACAAAGTGGCCGGTTCAGCTTTTATTGCAGATTACCAACACCTGGATCACGATGACATTGTTAATGCCCTTAAAGAGATAAGACGATCCGAGAATTCTGGGAGCAGCGTATCCAAATTAATGCCAAGAATACGAGAATTTGGAGTAAAGATCAACACAGCCAAGCATAAAAGGCACATCAGACGTATATGAAGTTTTTTTTTTAACCAGCATAGGACTGTCACCTTTAACTGTAGGACGCTGACGTATATGTTGAATTAGAAATCTGAGCACATATGAGTGTCCGGAGTGCTGTAAAGAGAACCCATCTCATAACAAGACAGAAGACTAAGGACACACATGCAAAAAGCTCTACCTTGTATGTCGTTATTAAAAAATATGCGAGAACTTAACACTTCCAACTTCAGTAACTGCTATAGGACTTCCCTGCTTTTCTTTTCAGTACTGTAAGTCCGTGCACTGTGCTGAGATTCTCTGTGTATGATCTAAACAGGAGGAAACAGCAGCAATAATGACGACGTCTACGTATAAATTCTTCTTCTATTCTTACTGCTACCATCACCACCACTACCTGCTGCTGCTACTACTACTACTACTAATACTACTACTACTACTACTACTACTACTACTACTACTACTACTACTCATTGCCGTCTTATCGCGTGGACACGCTGCGCAATTGCCGGTAGCCCCACGAGCATATGTGTCAAGTGATTTGCCATAAATCAAAATATCCTTTTTGTGAGTAGTTGCCGTTAGAACCGTAGTTTACTGGCTTTTCCAGAGTCCCATAATGCTGTTAAGACTGCTCTGTCACTCTACTATTACAACACCACAACCACCACCAACTACTACTACTTTCTACTACTGCTACTACTACTACTACTACTACTACTACTACTACTACTACTACTACTACTACTACTACTACTACTACTGCTGCTGCTGCTGCTGCTGCTGCTGCCCTTAAAAGGGCTATTGTCACTTTATACAATTTTTATTATTATTATTATTATTTATACTTATAGGCTGCGATATGTGCATCTTTGCCAGCAAAACAAAACGCTAACCCAAACCCCGAGGAGGCCGTATATTGTATATAACGATACAGCCACAAATAAAATGATAAATGCACAAACAGAACATAAGCCGAATATTTTGTATATCAGATCCAGTCACACGCCATGCTCGCTTCCCCCACCCCGCCCCTTTACTCCAAATACTTCCGGTTGAAGGCAGATCGGGATTTCCCGTCGACGACTTGGGCAGACGACAACAACAAGAAGCCAAGTTTTGAGTAACTATTTTACTGTTTTCTTCGCCACATCAGGTATGCCAGCTTTGAACAGTAATATTAATAAACGTCACTTTATCTGTAATTCAACGGAAATCCGATATATTTATTAGATAGGGTGATCATCAAGTTCTGCTAACAACGACTCTGCTTGAGTTTATGTTTTAAATATTTTTTTTCTTCGTGTACACCGGCTGTACTGTTAACTTAACTCCTGTGGAACGTTCTGGTTATTCGCCCGCTTCCTTTTTTTGGGGGGACCTTAGTCCTGTTCCAAAACTTGAGTCATCCGTTATGCAGATATGGTCTATTTATATGCAGACTGTTGGTCTGCAGTGGCTAGCCTCTCAGGCACTTGCACTGCGACTTCAATCAAAGTAGTCGTCTTCCGTCTAATCTACGACATGCGCGTGTTGTTCAGTTTGTTAGTAGGGCAGTAGGGGGCAGTGGCTCTGTAAGTCTGTTCTTATTTTCCCCAAAAATGAGACCCCGGAACCCACACGTGACATTTATAATCTGATTTCAAAGAGTTGAAGTTAATCGAATCTTTGAAATCGTCTTATATCTTTAAGGGCATTACCAGTTATATACATTTATACTGAGTAAATCAACCAGACTATGATAAATTAATAATTGGTGAAGTTTCCTTTTTTTCTGAAAGTTTCTTTTAACAGGGCAACTTGTGTCCTGAGGTGTGAAGTAAAGGTGGCCAGTATGAATATGATAGGTTCAGGTTTAGAGACAACAGATCAAAATCATGGCACAAGGGTAGTAACCCATAAGTGCTCCGTTCTTCTTCTGACTCAAGACTCAAGCCTAAGTCTGAAGAATCTCAGCGCAGTGCACGAACTTAGCAACACCAGCGTGGATCCTGACTGAAATACCTTGGGTAGATTTTGAACTCCAAATTTTGCCTGAGCAGCGCTATTTTTTTTTTTCCAATTTAAAACTGCCAAGGGAATATTTTACCTGCCCAACAATACACACAGACGTCCTATTTTACTACCCAAAGACCAGGGAAAATTACTAGAAGTCCACATGAAAAATCCCAGTCTTCACCGGGTCTTGAACCTGGGACCTCCAGCACTCAAGGCGGACGTCATGCATCGAGACCACGCAGCCTCCTGGGCCAGTATGATTTTACCAGCTATCCTCGTGGGTGCCGAATGGTCTATAAAAAATATAGGTCTAGTCATTAATCGGTTTTAAGGAGAAACAAGAAATGCTTGTCTCGTTTAACTAGCTCATGGCGTCAGCAGTGGATTATAATATTAAGAACTTGTTTGCTGTGCTGTTTTTTGTTTTACTTTTCCTTTGTGGCAGTTTTTTTCTTTCTGACTGATAATCTGATTCTTTGCAAGCTTTTTCTTTGATCATATTTCTTGTTTGTTTAAAATTGATCTGTAGTTGCTTCATTTCATGGGTGACTACTAAGCTTTCTGTTGGTTTATGCCAGTGCTTCCTTGGTTGTAATTACTTCTGCTGCATTTCTTGTAAATCTTCAAGGTTTTTATTCTGTTCTTCATCAGGTGTTCTTAGGTCACAGGTTGTGGCTCTATCTTGCCATTCCCTTTTCATCTTGATATCTATAATTATGGCCATGATTTATGTCTTGAATTGTGCTATACCGGGTACTTCGGCTTCTAATTTTCTCTGGATCTCAAATATTGTTTCCACTTCTTATCTCTTCTCTCTCCAGTGCTCACTGGGCTTCTTCTGCCGCCTTTTCATCTCAGAGTGATTGAATCTCCTTTTTTTAGTCATGGCATCTCATTGTAAAATGTGTTGTTGTTTCTGCTGCAGAGAGGCCTTGGGTAGCTGATGTCTCATGCATGCTTCTTGATACTGGATGTTTTCTCTCACAGCAGTGATGGGGATTTCTCTGCACTGTTGTAGGTATGGGCATCTTAGGTATCTGGTACTGTGCTGGACGGAGAAGAGTTATTAACACTTTCTGTTAGGATTGGCTTCTTGTTTTGTCAGAGAGCAGCCGCTGAAAGGGTGTGGCTCCGAGCAGTAACAAAAAAATCTCCTTCCTACTCTGGCATGTAGCTCTTAAATACCAGGCTTTCTGGAATTTGGAGTGCTGGAGCATCTGCGGAAATGTACTGCTCCGGTCTCTGTGGCCTCCAGTCTAAGAAGACTTTGGTATATTGTCACCCTCTGTCTTGATCACTGCAACTGGAGAAGAGTTGTGCAATTTTTGCATACAAATAAGCCAGGTCTATAAAGTGGATTTGCATACAGCACTCAAGTTCTTGCAAGAGAGCCAAAGTTCATCAGTGGACAAAAAATCAGGACTTCCCGCAGGAGTTTAGAGCCATCATATGTAAAGTATTAGTCGTTGAAGAATAGGCATAGTTTTATTCATTACATTTTTCTTCTTTCCAGCTCTGAATGTGACCCTCTTTATAAAAGAGGATCATCTATGACAATATTTGGACACCTCCATCTGCTGCGAGTTATTCCATTGAGGGCTGTAACTTTTTGCATCAATAACACAATGTTATCTGCAAGTTCTAGCTCCGCCAACCTTCTGATCACCCATCACAACCACACTAAGGCTATAGACTCAAGCAAGAAGGTGCTAGTGGGTGTGTGCCAGATGAATGCTACGTCCAACAAGGCTGATAACCTTCAGACCATTCTGGATCTAGTAGCTTCAGCAGCTGGTCGAGGAGCTCAGGTATGTAGTGGAGGGAGAAAAATGAGAAAAACAAGGCATGATCATTCTTGTTTGTAATTATAAATTTGTTTAGAAAAAGCAATACAAAGTAAAAATCATAATGAAAAAACAACCAGGGCAGTAATTCAACGTGACTCAGGTGGCCGGCAGAGAGGCAGCCCTTCATCCGTTGAGCACCACCTTTTGAACTCTAGAACGCTGTCAACAAGGACAGCACATTCCATATTCTTCATATATCCAGTGGTAGAGTGCTATGATTTTTTCAAGCTGCCACTATTCGTTACCTCAGTCCAGAACTGTGTAAACAGGAAGACATGATAGTGAACCTGCACTTGCCTTGGTAATACAGACGGTTGAATTTGTACTTTAGTTGCCAAGGATTCACTTATTTGCTTTATTTTATTTAATTGTTACTATTGGTATGCATATGACCAGATAAAGCAAAATATGCCAAGTAAACAAATATGTACTCTGTGCCTTTGTTCAGAGTGTAATACTGTCTGTCTGTGTCAAATGTTGATGAAGGCCTTCTGGCCGCAGTGTTCACTTGTTAGAAGTTGTGATAATGTAAAGCTGACTAGTTTCGCTTCCCATTTGGTTTGATAATTGTTCATGGTATTTTTATAACTTATGGCAGTTCTCTAGTTTCACAACTCTCGGAACTGCCGCTGTCTGTCTGTGCCCATCAAACTCTTCTCTACTGTCTTCTTCTTTTCTCTGCTTCTGGAATGCCTCATGGTGTCAGGGCGGGAAGAGATCTGTGGAAAGGAACCTTCTGTTTGCTTATACAGTACTTTTCAGTGCCTGATATTTCTGTGGTCGATGTTCTGCACGGTTGACCTCTGGTTCTTTTACTGCTGTATCTGAATAACATTGCTTTCTGTGGTGCCGTCTGATGCCAATCTTGTTACATGGCCAAACCACTTGATTTGTTGTCTACCTATAAAGCTTAGTGTTGGTTCTGTGCTGAGTCTTCTCCTAATATCATTCCTAAGCCAGTCTTTCCTTGTTACACCTAGCATAGTACGTAAACATTTCATTTCTGTTGTATTTTCTCTCTGTCTTCTGAAGACAGTACAGGTTTGACTTTGAGTACTGTAGGTTGTCGTAATGCCATTGATTTCATGTTTGTAACTGTCACTACTGTCTGTATATACCACGCCTTTGAGCGGTTTAGACAGGCGGTCAGGAGCCTTAAAATTTAGGGATACACGGCTGGTGTTGTCGCCATGGACTGTGCAGATTAGGATGTTCAATTTTGCCCCCGACAGAAAAACTCCCATCATCTTACCGGGATTGGAACCAGGGTCTCCTGAATGAGAGTCTAATGTTGTAACCTCTCGGCCGGCCTCTGCTCATTTGTAATTGTAACTGTATATTCATGTTGTGTGCTGATAAAACTGGTGACCCAACGACATGCAGTGTTATAGGATGATGATGCTGATGAAGGTTTTATAGCCAAAATGCTCACTTGTCCTTCGTGATTGTGTGAAGCTGATTTCTGCTTCTCACTTGGTTTGATATTTCGTTAGTCAAGGTTTCATCCCTGCAGATGGGCCGCCTCATAACTGCTCTATTCCTGTGCCAGTCGAAATCACACAAAATGTCCTTGACTGTCCCGTTCAAAAACCAGAGAAAAACTTGTCAGTCCCAACTAAATCTTGGAGCTTGCACTTGCAAAATAAGAATGCATAAAAATTGTAGCTCACTGTTTGCTGAAACGGTCAGTCATGAAAACACTGACAAAGTACACATCATACTGAACAAAATCAGCCAACTGACATTTTTGTGTCAACAGTATGCTATGGGCATGTCAGAAAATACATTCCACCAAAAAATCGCAGCTTAACGTGTCACATCCGTCGCTCATTTTAGTAGCTGGGCGATGGAACCTTGGTGCGATATCTGTTCAGAGGAAGAGACGATAAAGTAGATGGGAAGAGAAAATAACATAAGGAAAACAAAGGGGTGGGGGAGGGGTAGGAGGAGAAAAAGTGAAGTAGCACAGGAAGAAAAGGGGGTAAAAATAAATAGATCCTCAACCAACTCATGGCAAGCCATTCTCTCATCTCCCGCTGCTCCCTCTGTGTCCACCAAATATTATTTACAAGTCTCAGGTTCTTATCTTCTTGTATGCTTAGGTCTCCCTCTGTCTGTTTTACCATGTGGGTTCCAATTAAAGAACATTCTAGTTGTACATTGTTTGCCTACCCAGTCTCAGCTTCTTCTTCTCACTTGACATGCTGGAATTTCTGTCTCTCAGTAGCTCCCACATCAGTGTTAATGATTCTGTCGTATTATTTTTTTTTAATGTCCTACATGAACATGAAATACCTTGGACTGCCAGAATAACTAACAGTGATTGCCTGGAAATGGCTAATGAAAGTAAGGTAAAACATTTTAAATAACATGAAAAGGAAACAAGTTCTTTGGTTAGGTGATGAGAAAAGGAGCACTGAAAAATATCATGATGACTGGTAGAAGCAGCAGAGGCAGACCAAGAGAAACGATGGTGGATGGCTTGAGACGGTGGCATAGGGGAATATCATCAGTGAAATTTACCCAGAATACCAAAGACCTGGATCTGTGGAGATGCTTGAACACCTACGCGAGCTGGCAAGGCACTTGATGGTGATTCTGCATGAGCACATTTTAATTCACATGCAGCTTAATGATTCCACTTAAATGTTTTTGTTGTTAATCTCTCTTTTAATCCCTGTTTGTTGTTGATCTCTCTTTTCTCCCTCTTTGTTGTTGATCTCTCTTTTCTCCCTATTTGTTGTTAATCTCTTTTCTCCCTGTTTGTTGTTGATCTCTCTTTTATCCCTGTTTGTTGTTGATCTCTCTTTTATCTCTGTTTGTTGTTGATCTCTCTTTTATCCATGTTTGTTGTTGATCTCTCTTTTATCTCTGTTTGTTGTTGATCTCTCTCTTTTAATCTCTGTTTGTTGTTGATCTCTCTCTTTTAATCTCTGTTTGCTGTTTCAGATGGTGTTCCTGCCAGAAGCCTGCGATTACATTGGTGAATCCAAGAACCAGTCTGTTGAATGCTCAGAGCCTCTCGATGGCAACTTTATACACCAGTGTCAGAAAGCGGCCATCCGAAATAAAGTTTGGCTGTCTATTGGAGGATTTCATCAGAAGGTATTCATTATGCTTCTGGATGTTCTTGTTCATGCTCCTCTTTTGAGGGGAATTTGCCAGTTTTCTAGTTGTTTCTTTATAATAGGGCAAACAAAAAACACAAAAACAAATCTTGACTGTCTCTGTATAATCTCTCCAAGAATTTTTTTTGGCTTTAATCCTTTTCTCTAGTAGCAGCTGGCCAAAGGGTTAGAATACTGGGCTGTCATGCAGGAGATACTCGTTCGAATCCTCAGTAAGGTGGTGGGAGTTTTTCTATCTAGGAAAGGGTGGTGGGGGTAAAATAAACATTCCAACGTGCACAGTTTATTTTTGTATTCTGAAGGGTTAACAGCTACAAGTCCCAGAAACCCCATTCAGCCAAATAACATGGTTATTTTGGGGCACCCTAAAACGGTTACAAACGAATCTGTCGTCCAGTGTGGTGATTTCTTTGCTCATGCAGTTTATGGCGATTGTACTAGCCATGTCACCCAGAACTTTCAGGCTGAAGACCTCTGTCCTGAGCCTGAGGATTTCTGGCCGCATGGCTAGTGCTGTCGCCTCGACTGTGCAGGTGAGGATTTTATTTTGCCTCTGACAGAAAAAATCTCCAGCCTTACTGAGGATTCGAACCTGGGTCTTCCGCTTGAGAGCCCATCGTTCTAACCATTCGGCGAGCCGCTCCTCTCTGTCCACACCACTCAGTAAAATGGCTCTCAGAGGACTTTTGTTTTAAAAAAAAAATTTTGTGTTAATGCCTGTCCATGCTATTTCTCACATTTTCCATAAAAAAGTCACATTTTCATCCCATTTGATGTTTCTCAGCTGGTTTGCTTATTGTCCCTACCCCCCTTTACAGGCACCAGAACAAGAAAAGTCAAAGCTCCTGAACACGCACGTAATCATTGACCTTGATGGAAATGTGGTGGCCACCTATGACAAGGCCCATTTGTTCGATCTGGATATACCTGGCAAGGTGCATCTCTGTGAGAGTGATTATGTCCTTCCAGGCAAGAAGATTGTTTCTCCGGTTCAGACTCCTGTCGGCAGAATTGGCCTATTAACTGTATCCTTTTTATACTTTGCTTTTGTGTTGACGTCTGAATGGGTTACAAATACAAACAATTCAGGGGCCCTGTGTGAGGGGGGAAGGCGCGACAACTAAAAATGATAATGTAAGTAGCGACTAATAAGGGATTTGCTGACAATTGGATGTGTTGCACTGAAAGTTGGAGATATCGCAGCCTAGCTGTAAACCACAACACAGCATGCCAACCTTCCTTTTAAAGGTGAACGCAGAAGAAAAATTTGCTAAGAATAAAAGGATGATTTTGTCATGGCAAACTGCCAAGTTCTCATGGACCGCATGTCTGGTTGATTTGTAAATGTACATGGGGGCTTCCCCACACAGGATTTTCCTTCCTGTATGAATTTCTTTAGGTTTCACCTCATTACTAATTAAAGTAAACGGATAAGAGAACGCTGCTCCTGTTTGGTGCATGTAGTATGGGAGGTGCCCATCTTTAAACTGTCATTATGATGTCACCATGTTCGTCAGCAACGGACTTAACACTCTAGATATCCTTAACAGTAAAGCCCCTCAAAACCCACTCAGGCTTTATACTATGCCAGCATTGCCCTTTGATATTTTTTTACTTTCATGATATCCAACGGACATTATTGGTTTCAATGCTAAATAATTGAATTGTATACCATTTTCAGCTCAGTGTTACTAGCAGAAATTGATTAGGAGTGAACAAAGTTAAACAAATCCATCACTCAATCCACCCAAGAAGCGCAACACAAATACAGAAAACCACGACACCGGGTTACAACAGAGTGCAGAAAATGGTTTAGACATAAGTATTTTAAAGAACAAAAACTCATAAGTAACAATGGAAAGGAGCAGCCTACAGTGAACATCACATTAAGTGGAGAGATAGAACAAGTAACAATATTCTCCTATCTTAGACATAATAAATGATAGCAACAGTGAAATATAAATCAACAAGAGAATAGGAATGGCTAAAGATTATGTGAAAACTATTGACAACTAGAGAGGTAAACAAGATATTACAAATGCAGATTATCAACTGCTCTGTGGCACATAAATCTGGACAGTGAACAAGCAACCAGAGAATTGAATTGAGTCTCTGGAGATGGGGATATAGAGAAGACTACATTGTATTTTGTGGAAACGAAAACGTCAAAAATTGAGTTTGAAAAAAGTTTTTTTTTTAAACTTAAAATTTTATGTTAAAATTAAAAGGCAAAACATTGTATCAAAAACCATACTTGAGGAAGAGGCATGAGGTAGACAGCGATACAGGTCAGAGGACAAAATCAAGAGATGGACGAACAGTCTGAAAGTGTACAGCTAAGACAAGAGACAGTGTTGGAGGCCCATTGCAGCTAATCTTGTTTGTAGAGATAGCACCTGATTGATTGACCATCTTCACAGTAATGGTTGGGTGTAGTTATCTCACAGACACAAACAAAAAGTGAACATTGTGGCCAGAGAGCCTTTGTCAGCACATTACATAAATTTACAATACTCTAAGAATGAAACAAAATTTTTAAAAAATGCAGTACAAAGTGGGGCACAAATAGATTTTAATTGTTTTCTTTTAACATCACAAAATGCAGAATGTTTTCCAGTTTCCTAGCAAAAAGAACATTGAAGTTAAATTAACTGTCCTTAACCGTGCTAGTGCTACGATGTCAGATTCCCTGAGATATCACTAGCCTTGGTTCAGCAAGGAGCCCAGATCATCACTTACCCATCTGCCTTCACTCAAACCACAGGCATGGCTCACTGGGAGGTAGGTATTTGATCAATCTTTTCCCACCCAAGTCACTTGTCTCTGAGCTTGGGTCAGCGATTTTGTTGTTATTGAGGGAGAGTGCTTTTCCAAAACCATGAGACTTCTGTGACAGACTATTTAGCCAGTGTGCCTGATCCATCCTGGTCAGTCTGTCAGAGAAGTCAATGTCATTGTGAAACTTTGTACTCCATTCATTTACCTGCTCGACTCAGCGGTATACATCACCATATGGGGGCCTTCATTCGCCAATGAATTTCTACAGGTTTCATTTCTTCACTGATCAGAAATGGGTGTCAGTCCTGCTCCTCTTTGGTGCATGTCAAAAGTGGGGTGACTATTTTTAAATTGTCCTTATGACATCACCCTGATGTTGTGCGCTCAACACCCTTGACAACCTTAATTTTTACACGTTATGAGACACTGGCATGGTTATTGTAATTTCTGTCACCGTTTTAGGGTTTCATTTGAAGCCCCTACGTAAGTTACTTAATGTTATTGTGCACTTTGAAGTGCCATTTACCCAAGTTCTGCAGTGTCCAATCTCTTGTTTATTAGTTGTTCATTGTTTTTGTTATGGTAGTCTATTCTAAATTTCTGTCTTTTAATATAGTCAAAGTAATTTAGTCACCAAGATATATTTATAAACCAGTTTTCTCTGATGGCTGATCTTGTAGAATGTCAGTATTTTTTCCCTTCTTGATCCATTATGTTCTAAATATTTTCTGTGACATTTAAGTTAAACCCCCCCCCCCCCCCCCCCCCCCGATTTTCTTCTTTATCCCCTTTGCCCTGCAAACACTAAAATAAATGTGCAGTGAACCCCTAAAAATTCCCCCCAACAATCTTCCTTTTTTTTTAAGAAGCAACCATTCTACGCAGGTCAGTTATACAATACATTTTGTTTAATTTATCCACGTATGTAAACAAATTTTTCAAAAAAAGTATGAAAAGGGAGTAATAAATAAACACGAAAAGAGTGAAGCATCAATTGAATACATTGTCTGGGAGCCTAAGGAAATGTGTATCAGTTCACTCATGCCATGATCCTGTGACCTCTATCCCTGAGGCAATGGGGAAATTTGACATACCATGGCTTTAGAAAAGCCCTTTGATTCACAAGAGATCCCCCAGCAGCCCAGGCCCCCTTAAATACTATTTTTATTAAATAGTGTCATATCCTTTCGTTCTAAATGCTGGGCAGGTGCAAGAAGAACCAGAGACATTAAACTGCATTGCCTTTGTGAGAAAATATTAGCAATGGAAATGCCAGCATTAGGGCTTTTTGGGGTGACAGAGGTAATGATTGTATGTTGTTTCCCACGTTAACTAACCATAATCCTGGTCTTGTGAATCCACAGAGCCTGCTTCGAGCCCGTGCCATTGAGACCCAGTGCTACGTTGTTGCTGCTGCTCAGACGGGTAAACATAACCCCAAGAGGTCTTCATATGGTCATGCAATGGTAATGTGTTTTCAACAAAGGAAAAAAAATAATGTTATATGTTCATGTCATAATCTTTCATATTTTCACCTATAGATATGTTAATGTAAATAAAAAGTAAAGAACTCTTTTAGCCCTTTATAGGGCTAGACCTATATTTTATAGACCAATCAGCACTTTATGCGTGATGTGGTCAGCATCACGCTGACCACCTTTACTTCCAAGGACTTTTACCTGGTACTTATTTAAAGCTAGGTCGACATAGGAGCCAAGGTCATTTTTGAAAAATGTCTAGCACCGGCCAGATTTGAACCCATGACCTTCAGTCTGCAGGCAAGCGTCTAGCCCCTACATCATAGTAGCTCCCACTATGTTAATAAATAAAGGCGTATCATGGCAGCTAAAGAAAATGCAGAAGCATTGGAAACACTGGATTTGGAGAGTGTATTACTGAACAAGGCTGAGGTTGAAAAGTATTATACTTAAACATTACCATTGTTTAATGGTGGGGAAGTGGCCGTGATCTAGCAGCTACACGCTCGCCTGTGGGTCGGAAGGTCATGGGTTTGGGTCCAAACTGGCCAGACCTTTTTTTTTTTTAAATGACCTTGCCCTCCCAGTTCGACCCAGCCTTGAGTGGGTACCAGGTACAGTCCTGGAAAGTAAAGGCGGCCGGCATGACGCTAACCACATCACCCATCAAGTGTCCTTTGGTCTGCACAGTATAGGTCTGGCCCTGTATATCCTATTTGCCTGAAGGCGTGGAAAAGGCTCCTAGTTATTTGCTTTAACTCTTGCATGCCTACCTCTGTACATGTGCTTTTATGTATTTGAAAATAATTCTTGTAATGTTTACAATCCAGGTTGTTGATCCCTGGGGTGCTATTATAGCACAGTGCAGTGAAGGAACAGGTGTGTGTGTGGCAGAATTGGATTTAGAGTACTTGGAAAGAGTACGATCAGAGATGCCGGTCCGGCTACACCGACGTACCGACCTGTATGGGCGGATAGCAGCTCCAGAATCTCAGATTTCTACTAGTATGTACATATGATCTTTAACTGCGATTGTAACAGCAAACATTGTTCCTTCATCCATATTCTTCTCTTACCTCTTCTTCTTCTTCCTCTCATTCTTTTTCTTCTTCCTCCTCAGCATCCTTGTCTTCTTCACGTTTATCAGCTGTAAAATCTGGTAAAATGTCTTTTTTTCCCACTTCTGGACTTTTGATGTTTTGTTTCAGAACTTGAGTTTTGCATGCACATCAGTTTTACTGATCTGACTAATTTGTATGCATATGGTTGGTTCCTCGCCTCTCAGGCAGACTTATTCCATCTCTGAAGGAAATACCCCTGATTATTATACTTTTACCTTTTACGACATGCCTTCTGGGGGAAGTGTGTCTCCCCCCGCCCCTTTCCACAGTGTAGCCCCAGAACCCATACGGGAATCTTCACATATTTTGCTACAGAAATTCTTCTACTGCTTCATCTTCTCATCCTGCTTCTTCTTCTCCTCTCGCTTCTTCTTTGGTCCTGACTACTCCACTACCCCAAGATCAAGAAGCTTATACCATTCTTTTATTGTTATTATGTGAAAATCCATAGAATCCGCACTTTGAATAGAGGTGGCCATCAGAACCTGAGAGCAACTCTGCTGTCATCATCATCATCATTACTGTCCTGTTGTACCATTATATGTCACATAGGGCTCACAGACTGTTCCTCCCTTCCATTCTGTCCTGTGCAGTCTCTTCGAGATCATGTGCAGCACCTTTTGCCTCTCATAAACGTTTGATTTAGCGTTTCTCTTGGATGTTTAACATTTCTGTTGGTTATCTCTTCCTCAATCTCTGTATTTCCAATTTGAGTGCCTGTTTGGGGATCCTGTGTGTGTCTCTTCTCAGAATATGTCCAGTAAAGCACCATCTTCTTTGTCTTATAACTCTTATTACCAGTGGTTAACCAAACTCAACTCTCACAAGAAGTAAAACATCAAGAAAATGGATATCTTTGATTTAAAAATGTTAAAGTTGAGAGGATAGACTTTATTGCACAAGATTCTTTTCCTGTATGGCTTGGCCTTTCTCGGCAGAACGGCAAGCTGCTGACCGAGAGCGTCGCATATAGCAAGAACAACAAAGCTCTGACGGTGATCCCTAGGGGCCTCCGTAAAAAATTGTGCTCATGCATTGAACAGCTGAGCTATGAAACAAACCCTCAAACTTCAGATCACGAAGCAGACAGCTTAACCACTTCACAACGGAGACCCCGAGATTACACAAAAGGCAAAGGGACGTTTCACAACCTGGGGCATGCTGGCATAAATGGTGCTAGCCCTGTTGTTTTAGGCTGGCACTCAGGAGGTAATGTTGTCAGTGTCACACAGGCCACCTTTACTTCCCATGAAATTTCATGATGCACATTGTTGGCTGAATTGACCTGGAAGGCCCGGCTACTTTAAAAAAAAAAATCGCTGCATCAATTGTGATTTGAATCGCGGCTTTAATTGCTTTTATATTAATTTCATCATTATATTCACAAGAACTGTTTATATTTTTGGCAGTCCCACCAGATGACTGCCACAGCTACCAGTTTGGCCACCTCAAAATAACCTCAAACCAGGTGATCTATCGTACATTATTGTCATTTGCGGCAGTCAACATCAAGCCTGTTGTTCCTGGACGTATCCTTTTTTCTTTGTTCAAAATTATTTCATAATTGAATTATAGGTTTTATTTTTTAGGCAGGTAATCCTGGTTTATATGTTTTAATTAAGGTAGAAAATTCACCTTATGTGTAGTTGCTGGTTGTCCCTGTTGTGAGCTAACTTAATACCACTCTAAAACTGATCATTTGTATTCATTGAGTCTTTAACTCAGTAATCCGTTCCAAACAGCGACAATATTGGATACTCATCTAGTGTTCAAACCAAAGTCTTGATGAATGACTACTTTGCACTTGGTTTTATCCCATATGGCTCGGTCTGGATCCGTTGATGGCTAGCCCCTGCTGAGAGCATCTCACAAAACACCGACACCATAGCACCGGCAGCAATCCCAGACATACAGATTGCATCATAAAACAACTCACCGTCCCCAGAGCGCGAGGTAAACAGTTTGACCATTTTGCTGCGGAGACCCCCAGATTCATCCAGAGCTGTGTCCACCCCCCCCCCCCCCCCCCCCCCCCACCCCCTTCCTCCAAGCTGTCTCATTGCCTGCAGCATATCCCCTCTTTCCATCTTACATGCACCAAAAACAGGTGAATATTCTGACAAAGAAGACTATTGAGCACAGAAATATAATTTTCCAGTTAATTACACATTTTGCTCAACTTACAACATATGTGATTTTACAACCATCTGCTCTTAAGATCACACACAAAATAAACAAATAAAAATAGTAAGTAGAGAAAGATAGCTTCATGAGTAGGATCAAACATTTCTTGGAACTGATGTTGTAGATATTATGTATTTTTTACATTATGTACAGTAATTATATGTACATTGATTGATTTTTGTGTGTTTTATGCAAATCATTTTTAAAAAAAAAGATTTTTGAATGTAAATAATGTTGAAAAATATAAATTCAGCTTACGACCAGATCATCTCATGACCTGTTAGTCGGAACGGAACTAGGGCGTAAGTCAAGGAGACCTTGTAAATACCTTTTTTTTAAATCTAGTAAAAATCACTTGTATTCATTATATTGTTGGCTCATCGCTCGAGTGCTAAATCCTTCTTTCATTAAAATCGCGTTTTAAACAGATTTAGCAAATGAGTATTCTTCAATTGCATGGAAATTCTCTGTTTTGATCTATTTGAAGTCAGAATTCACATGTGTGCTTTGAGCATATTGTAAAGTGACAAACAGCAGCCATTAGAATTGAAAATTGTCAAAACTACACTTAGGCAACTGGCATAGGGCCAACATGTTGATGTAAACCAGGGTTAATCGCTGGCTGCCTGGGGACCAAATCTGGCCCCCGGAGGCCTACAGATGACCCCCGGATCATAGCCAGTTGTTTTGTATTAATGGTTTCCCTATGCTTGGGCCTCTGGCCTGTGACAATCCTTATTTTCAAAATGTTGGTCCCTTGATAAACTTAGTTGAATAGCCCTAATGTAAACTGTAGCGTTCACCTGACAAGATGCACCGAAATATGCCATGCAGTAAATTGTGCAGTGTATTGTTGGTGTCCTAAATATGCCATGCAGTAAATTGTGCAGTGTATTGTTGGTGTCCTCAATATGCCATGCAGTAAATTGTGCAGTGTATTGTTGGTGTTCTCAACAAGCCATGCAGTAAATTGTGCAGTGTATTGTTGGTGTCCTCAATATGCCATGCAGTAAATTGTGCAGTGTATTGTTGGTGTCCTCAATATGCCATGCAGTAAATTGTGCAGTGTATTGTTGGTGTTCTCAATATGCCATGCAGTAAATTGTGCAGTGTATTGTTGGTGTCCTCAATATGCCATGCAGTAAATTGTGCAGTGTATTGTCGGTGTCCTCAATATGCCATGCAGTAAATTGTGCAGTGTATTGTTGGTGTCCTCAATATGCCATGCAGTAAATTGTGCAGTGTATTGTTGGTGTCCTCAACATGCCATGCAGTAAAATGTGCAGTGTATTGTTGGTGTTCTCAACATGCCATGCAGTAAATTGTGCAGTGTATTGTTGGTGTTCTCAATATGCCATGCAGTAAAATGTGCAGTGTATTGTTGGTGTTCTCAACATGCCATGCAGTGTATTGTTGGTGTTCTCAATATGCCATGCAGTAAATTGTGCAGTGTATTGTTGGTGTTCTCAATATGCCATGCAGTAAATTGTGCAGTGTATTGTTGGTGTCCTCAACATGCCATGCAGTAAATTGTGCAGTGTATTGTTGGTGTCCTCAACATGCCATGCAGTAAATTGTGCAGTGTATTGTTGGTGTTCTCAACATGCCATGCAGTAAATTGTGCAGTGTATTGTTGGTGTTCTCAACATGCCATGCAGTAAATTGTGCAGTGTATTGTTGGTGTTCTCAACATGCCATGCAGTAAATTGTGCAGTGTATTGTTGGTGTTCTCAACATGCCATGCAGTAAATTGTGCAGTGTATTGTTGGTGTCCTCAACAAGCCATGCAGTAAAATGTGCAGTGTATTGTTGGTGTCCTCGCAATTTTAATAAAAATATAATTTAATAAACAAACAAACAAACTTTTTTTTCCCCTCTATTTAATGAAATGGCGACATAACTTTTGTTGAAAAAGGTTAATTGTATCAATAATTTACCTAGTTTTTATTTTAATTTGTTTCATTTATATTTGAAGCAAATGTTTTCAAAAGATTGCCTTAACTGCAGCAAAATACAGATGTCTTAGTAGTGCCATTACGTGCGACTGCCCAGTTTTCTGATCTCAGCCCTGCAGAAGTGACTGACCTGTTCCTGACTGCTCAGCGAGTGGGAGACGCAGTAAAGAAACATTTTGGGGCCACTTCCAGCACACTGGCTATACAAGATGGGCCTGAAGCTGGGCAGACTGTTAAAGTGGGTTGCCATTATCATATCAGCATTATTATCACCTTCAGCAACGTCATTGTTAATGTCGTCATCATCATTATCTTTAAAAAGTTAGTTGCGAATCCTTTACAGGACCTTCCAGAACCAACCCCAGCATTTGTTGGCTGTTGTGGTTTTTTTCTAGGCACATTTACATCCAGTAGTTTGCCATTGCTTTCTGGACATTCGGCTTCTTGATACCACTGTCTTGAAACTAACGCAAGGCGCAGGGCCCACAGCTGGGATCGAACCTGACATTACGAAGCGGGTTCGCAACGCCTAAGCCACAGATGCTGACTCTTTATCTTATTTTTTTCTTTCATCATTATCATTGTTAACTTTATCATTATCTTTATTATCATCTTCATTGTTATATGAGTCATAATTGCTATTAATAGTATAATTTCCTTTACATAATTATCTTTATCAGCATCATCATTTTCTTCCTCCCCTTCTTCATACCCTTCACCTACTATACACTAGGGCTGTACCGAATAGTTATTTTCACTATTAGGCCGAATACGAATATTGTATCATCATCATCATCAGGTGCCTTGCCGACTGACGTGGGAAATTTTGCCTCGCCACAATCTGCAATTTGCTGCAGCATGTATTAGTTCGTGTGCTGACACACCTCCATGCCATGCAACAAGACTGTCAAGAATCTTCTCTCGTTGTCTTCCTCTATATCTCCTTCCACAGATCTTTCTAGTGGTCACCACATGTTCCATTTTCCTTCTTCTCATAATATGGCCGAAAAATGATGACTGTCTCCTTTTGATGTCTGTGATTAGTTGTCTTCGGGCTCCCATCTCTTTCAAAACCTATTGGTTGCTTTTTTTTTGGCTGTTCAAGGTATTTTAAGCATTGTTCTGTAAAACTACATCTCTGAAGCCTAGAGAAATTGTTTGGCCTGCCTACTGATTGTCCAGTACTTACAACCATATGTTAAAACTGGAAAAATAGGAGATAAATAGTAGCAAGCAATAATTATTTTTCTAACCTTCAATGGCAAAGATATATTGCATAAGATGTTATTCATTTTATAAAATGCAGGTATTGCCTGTCGCCTGTGCTCTTTTCGACAGTGGCGAGGAAAGTATCTCAAGTATCTTTATGTCTTCTTTAATAATGTTACAATTTATAGCCGACTTTTCTTGATTTTCGCCCCGGCACCCTTAGCATACGCACCCAGTTTGAGAACCTTTGCTATAATGCCTCGGTCGAGTCAGCAGGCAAGACTTTGCCAGCTGCTGTACCACGCAACCAGGTCGCAGTTTTCCCGCTACTACAAACTTAGGCAACAGCAACTATTGTTTTAATGAGAGAATTGTTTCAGTCCATCGCAGTGTATGCAGAAATGAGTGTAAGGTAACCACTATTCGTATTCGGCCCGACCGCAACTATTTGGCCGAATACCGAAAAATCATTCGGTCCACTATTCGGCCCCGAAGCGAATACAAAGCGAATATTCGGTACAGCCCTACTATACACTCTAACTGAAAGTTCTTGACATTAGTCTTGTTCCAGAACTTGAGTTTTGTGTGCACATCTGTTTTACAGCTCTGGCTTATTTGTTAGCAGTCTGTTGGTTTCTTGCCTCTCAAGCAAAAGCACTACAACTCCAAAGGAAACCACTATCTAGTAAACTCTTACTAGATGCTAGTTAGGGAGGCAGTTAGTCCACCACAACGGAACCCCTGAAATCATCATTCTAAAATAATAAATAATTGATTATATTTTCTTGCATGTGATAAATATTTTTACTGTGTACAATAAATAATTTTTTTAATTTTTCTGAGTTTAATAAAGAAACTATGTCTAACTCCTCTCTGTGGCGCTTCATGGCATTAGCAGTAGTAGAAATTAACAAAAATTAATCATGTATTTTTGTGTTTTCGTAATTTAAACAAAAGTAACATATTTTAATAAAAACTCTAACATAAAATTGTATGTATAAATAATGTATTGCATATTTTCCTGAATGTTTTAAATCATTAGCTCAATTCTAATATGTAATAGATAATTTGTTTTTATTAGTTTTCAAAATTCTGGATATTTGTCCTGGTTAACAGCATGTTCACCTCCACATTTTGCCAAGAAAGCAGGGAGACTTCAAGGAGAATGATGACGTCTACCAGCAGGTGAGAAATTGACAGTGAAACATTGTTCTTCTTCTTCTTCTTCCTTTCTTGCCCTCCAATGGAGCATAAGCCCTCAACCAACTCACGCCAAGTCATTCTGTCTTTTGCTATCGCATGCAGCTCTTCCCATGTTCTCCCCATCTTTCTAACTTCATTTTCCAGCTCCCTTCTCCATGTGTTTTTTGGCCTTCCTTTATTCCTAAGCCCCGGTAGGTTCCAGTACATAGACATTTTAGTTATATTGTTCGGACAGGACACACATTGAGAAAGCTGGAGAATAATATAAAACATTGTTCTAAGTATGAGATAATATCTTATGGGATTTACAACATCACTTCGATAATTGTCCACATTCCATGAACACATATTAACCCCTCTAGTGGGTGCCTTAAGTGTGCCTAAGTGCTTCCAGGGTTAGTATTTTCTTTCCAAACTTTGCTAGAGTCACAAAATAGTGTCCGTGAATTGAAAAGATTTCAGTAAAAGATTAATTCTCCTTTTATTCATATGTTTCTGAAATGAATTACTTTATTTGAATTATTATTTTTTACTTTATTTTTTATTGATTGCAGAGTTCAGAATGGTTAAAAGACAAAAATAAAGTTCTAATGGCATTGGTTTAAAGCAACATGGAGCAAAGTGACCTGTCTCACAAGTTAGGTCACATGTTGGCAGGCAGCACAGGAACCAAGGACTAAAACACCCCCTGGCCAGGGGGAGAAAACTCTAACATTAATGCAAGCTACATGCATATAACTCATTCACAGTAGCTACAATGTTGAAGACAGGTGAATCTATCATACCTGGTGAGATAACAGTTGGCTTTGGGGGACATAATCACTAAACTCAATGAAGGGGTTAATCTTATATTTTCACTTTCCTGTTAGGGTTGCAGGCCGGGGTTGGTTTTTGATAACCCAACTGCCCCGCTTACAAGCAAAAAGCATTTGTAAACGGTGACTGATAAGGAGTTTGCTGGAATTGGATGGGTTTGGCTGAAAGTTACAGATATCACAGCCCCGCTATAAACCACAACATATCTTAACTGCCCTTTTAATGGTCAACAAAGAAGAAGAAGCTCTAGACTCCTTTGATACAGTAATTGTGGCCACCACATTGTCCTTAGATGAAATTATAACTCACACTAAATTGAACATGTCCTAATCATTGACCAACACTTGTTTTTCACAGCTGGAATCTCATGACCAAGACTGGACGCCCATCACAAAACTGCGGACACAAGAGGAAATGGCAGAAGAAGCTGCTCATCTCCGGCAGTATTTCTACCACAGTTAAATTGAAAAAAAAAAGATGTCCACATAAAGCAAAGTCTACAAAGGATAGGAAAAACCTACGATATATGTCAGCTTTACAGGGTTAATTATAAAAAACAAGGAGAGGATGTTACGGCGATTAGCCTTCATCAGCAGAACAGCGATGAGGGACAAATCACAACATGAAAATTATTTTGCTATGTAAAAGCAAAAACTGATTCTTTTTATTTGTGTTTTGTTTCTCGTCTATTTCTTTTCTCACTGTCACTCTGGTGATGTAGGCTAATCACCACAGCGCCGTTTCATTGTTTAATGTGATTAATTCTGTAAAGCCGACATTTACTTTATGCTTTTCCTACCACAGCTAGAGCATCTGATGTAGCTTCCTTGTTTTATGCAACCTTGACGGCTAGTTTTTTTTTTTTTTTTTTTTTTTTTTTTTTTTTTTTTTTTTTTGTATTTATAGTTGCTTGTACACTAAACATACATGGGAAAAGCTGCCTATCCACTTAACGTGTTTCCATCACAGATGCAAGCTTCATTTGTAGAGTGAAGTAGCACTTAGGCTATTTGTTGTTTCAGCTATTGAGTCATCATTCTTTTTAGACAGTTAGGGTAGACTGCAGCTCACATAGGATTTGTGTGTATCTAAAGTGAATTTATGACTTTAGTTTTACATTATGTAAGTTGGGCTACAGTTCTGTTTATCCAAGGTGACTTTGTGAAGGTAGACTACATTTATTTTACAACACTAAAACTCAGAACTTAAATAAAGATAGAAATCACTACTCAGGCATTACTTTTTTTGTATGATAGACTACAGCTTGTGAATTACTTTATCAAAGACACACTACAAGTCAAGATTTACGCTATCAAAGAGGCACAACAAATCAAGCAATACTTTGTCTAAGACACACTACATGTCAAGATTTACTTTATCAAAGAGACAGTACAAATCAAGATTTACTTTATCAAAGAGAAACTACAAATCAAGCATTACTTTATCTAAGACACACTAAATTAAAGGCATACTACAGCTTCCACATTACTTTGTCAAAGAGACACTGCAAATCAAGCATTGCTTTATCGAAGAAACACTACAAATCAAGCATTACTTTATCCAAGACACATTACAAATTAAGCACCTGTGACAGACTACAGCTCAAAAATTGCTGTATTTGTGTATGAACAGCCATAATGATACTCAAATCTTTCTATTATTTTATGTTTTTTTAATACATTATGTTTATTACATTAACCTATAATTGTTCTGTTATAATTGTAACATTGGACCAGCCAGATTTTGAACAGTTAGATGTTGTATATATCCAAGTGCTTTGTTTTATCTGCCAAGTTGGATGTGGGAGCACTTAGTTGAAACATTTTTTTTTTATTTTGTGGGGGGGGGGTAATTAACTTCTTCTTTAGCCGCTATGAGTGTCAAGCAAAATATGAAATTCTCGTTCTCACTAATAAGATCAAATGATCTTGTTTATTGTTTTGACATAAATACAGACAACATCTTGATGTGTCGGGCTAGGGGGATTTGTGGTAGCTTGGAGAAGAGCCGGGATATCTAGAGATGCGGGTGCAAGTACCAGCTGTCACCACCAGATGCCAGGAGCCATTTTTGTGTTGGTTTAAACATTTGTCACTGTCTTTGTTTTTCCTCTATTTTCCTTGCTGTGTTTGCCTCTCGGAAGAAAGTGAGCAGTGCTGAGTCACCATGGATCATCATGGTCTGAAGAGAACAGTGCAGCTGGGAGTCTTGCTGACACTCAAGTATTATAGGGAAATGCAAGGTAAACATACTGTCAGACTGTTAGTATCATCGGAATAGGAACACAGTGCTGACTGCTGAAGATGGGAACAGAGCACTTATGGGAATGTTCCGAGTGCTGGGATGTCTTTTTTTTTTTTTTTTTTTTTTTTTTTTTTAACTTTTCAATATCCGTGATAAGAGGTCAAAGTTAATTTTTAATATCAAAGGTTTTATATTTACTATAATTTGCCAAAGAAGTTGTTGACTCATTTGTTTAAGGAGTGCCTGTGATATCTTGTAAAGGAGTGTAATGGATTATTCTTATACAGCTTCTTGTCCAGGGAAATCACAACTTGAGACTTCACATTTGATATAATGCCCATTTTACTGTATGCATGTTCAGTTTAGACACTAGCTTAGAGTCTTCTTCTTCCTTATGAAGGGATGTTTGTAAGTTTTTGTTGTGGTTTACAGCTAGGCTGCGATATACATGCCTTTCAGCTTAAAACATATAATTTCATCAAACTCCTAACTAGTCGCCTTTTATGACATGCTGTATTTTGAATGTCATTGCATCAGACCAATGCCGATTGTTGCACCTAAAGAGGCTTCAAGCACAATTCACTGTAGATTTCCACTTTAAAGACTACAGTGTTGTCAAACATCACCATTTCGAATGTCCAACTCTGAGATTTGGCAGGGTATTGTGGCTTCCCTCTGAGCCAGATCAAATAGACACTTTACATGGAACAAGACAGGTGGCGGTGCTCACCACAAAATGTCTTTAAAAAAAATTAGCTGGTGCTTGCCACACAGTGTCTTTTAAAAAGCACTGAATACAATGATTCCTAAAAAAAAAAGATGCCAGTACTGTGTACCATTGTGAACCGCCAGATTTAAAAAAAACTGCATGGCATTGGGCAGAAGCCTAGGCATCAACTGTGTTGATAACAACTTTATCTAAAGCAACATTTGACTGTTTAAGTAACTGGACAATAATTAGTGATTGATTTAGTTCCAGGTGTGTTGTTTCTATGTCTTAAATCATATTTTGTTGGTATATTCGTTTTGGAATTTGGTCCACGAACTTGGACCAACAGAATATTTAACACAGCACATTCCAGTGTTCTCTTTATATGTTTGTCTGATTGACTGTGTCATCCCCCCCTCCCCCTCCCCCCATCTGATAACTGCCTGAGAGATTGATACTGTGTGACTCAGGGAGCCACTTTTTTATGTCAGTTCAGAAAGAGCACATACAGAAACCCCATTCAGCTGTATAAAACAGTTACTGTAAATGGGGGCACTCTTACAGCTGCAACATAACCTGCAGTTTATTGAGGGTTCTTTATGTCCCCTCCCAGCTGTTACCTGAAAGTCTGACATCCTGAGATTTCAAAATCTAAGCCTTCAGAAATGTTATAATTGGGATGTCCATAATAGCAACACCAGTCTGGTATAAAATGCAGTTTAGTGTAGGGATAGATGTTCCTGTTTGTGGTTTGTCCCCTCCAGGATTGCAGCCTGCAGAAATAACACCTCAGAGATGAGGATTAAGCTGGTACACATCCTGGATGCTTTGTTCAACCATAACCATTATAATGGATCTGCCGTCAATCTGAAGCTAGGACTGGGTGGGGGAGTGGTTGCAAGGACGTTCTGACTGACGTTCAACACCATCAGGACCACACAGCAAGCATTAAACACCCAGTGACACAAAGTGCCACAATTTGAATGAGAATCACCCAGGGCACAAGTCCCAGAAACACTGTTTAACTTTTGGGTTATATTAGGGTCCCCGATGACGCTGAAGTGGGGCTTTAAAATAAATTGCATCCCATAATGGGACATTTTTATTATTGAGATTAACAAAGAACATTATAATATTGAGTGAGTGACATTCACCCCACCAGGACCGCACAACAAGGGATAAATACAAGTTGACACCATTTGGATGAGAATTCCCCGCGAACAATCCCACAAACTCTGTTCAAGTTATACTCGGGCCCTCAGTGACAGCCTGGGTCTGGCTTTAACAAAACAAAAAAATGGTGTCCTTTTTCAGGGGACGGAATGTCTCAGTAGTTATAATATTTGTAGTAAAGGAAAGGGGAAAAACTATAGAAACAATAGAATAATGCTTAATATACAACAACCTTTATTTTGAGGGCATATAATCTGCATTGAGACCATTTTCAAGCAGCACTGAGATTGTATGTATAGAGGTATCTATCATTTATTGCGGAGAGATTCTTCTACAGCTAAGAGTGATGCAGTTTATTTTAGAAATGTATAGGAGCCTGGAGGAAATAACTTCATCCCTCGTTTGCCTTGATCAGTCATGAATGATCTGCATAGAAATATTTTGAGCATTGTTTGAAGACAGTAAAAGGGTGTCATTGGAATTCTTCTGCTGCCCTCTATTTGTTTTGCTGGACCACAGGCCCTCGTCCAGCTCTCACCAAGTGGGCTCACCTTGTGCCATCTCCTGCACCTTCCATCCTCATCTTTCTGCTGTTTTTACTCAGGTTCTAATACCTCTTCCTATGAATGTTTCCCAATAGAATCGAATGCTCTGTCTTAAAATACTTAGATCAAATCATATAAAACTCTGATAAGACCAATTTCTTCTTGAAACTGAGTCACAAAGAAAACTGATTGCCCACATCAGAAGGAGACAATCTTCATTCTTTGTCATGTCATGAGAAGGAGAAAACTTGACTACATCATGACGGAGGGAAAGTTGGATGGGAAAAGAGGGAGACCGAGAGATAAGATGCTGTCATGGAAGATTATCTGTATCAGAAGTGATTGAAAGTACTTGAGGCAGAAGGTTGTGGATAGACATGACCACCACTGCCATTCAACTATAGCTGTACACTGTGTGGCTGTGGATCCTATTTTTGGTTTGTTCTATCTAGACCATCCTTGCTGTGTCTATTCTGTCAGCATGCTCCAGTGATTTGAACCCTGTTGCCATGAGAAGTAAATTTTGATTGTGCACTGTAAATGCTGATGTACTGTCATATCCGTAGTGACCTGATTTGAGAACAGCTCAGTTAAATGCCTTTAATTCTAGTGTTTAGGGTGTGAATATATTATCTAAATTATAAATTAGAGTTTTCCTTTAATTTAATTTTTTTTTTTATCAAAGCTAGATTGAATTAGTTTTCCTGTGAGCCTCTGTGAGAGGTCACAGCACGAGTCACCTGGTACATATTTGTTTTACACCCTGGAGAATGCACTCCATTTAGTTCTTC